GATATGCCCAAATGGGCCACTGAGAAACCCGTAGGGTAGACCGGGGCAAGTCGCCCCGCCGAGGTAAAACGCCTCACCGATGTTTCTCGGAACTGGCAAGGTTCTGGAGAAACATCATCTCTTCTATAAAACGTGCATTATATGATCATTATATGAGCAGACTGGAAAGAAATTGTGATGAATCTTTAGGGAGATATAGCCAAAAATGTGTTTTTGGAGTGATTTTTATGTTTTGTTGTCAGCTTATGCATCATGGCGTTCTTTTATGGTCCACATCAGGTTAACGACTTTTATGTATTTTGAACAACTTTATCTAACGCTTATAATGCCGGGTTGGTTCGTGTTAAATTATGCCTTGCTGGAGTGCAAGGCGTTGTTCTCTGACCGAACTACGTGATGGGGTAAAACGCCCCAGTAGGCAGAGGTGAAAAAAACCGGCTACTCGCCTGCGTGCGTAGGTGACAGCCATAGGAATAAGGAGACAGATTCGAGCATCTTAGTTAATGCATCTAAAATTGATAACTAGGCCGTTTCCGCTAAAATCAGAGCTGTCTTCCCATAGAGAGCCACTATGGACCACGGCACAAAAATTTAACAGCGTCATCTCTTTGTAGACAGCTGGGGCTGAAAAATCCCGCCGGTGCGACAGCCGGTGCGTTGTGAATCGCCATAGACAACGGAGGAAAAACGGCGACAGCGCGACAGCTCGTCCCCGCTCGTCGCCGGTTGAGCGGTGCGGCCTTGGCCGCCGCCGGAGTAGGGGAGGACCTGGGACGGGGGACGTCACATCTGGGCCACAACTGGGGTGAGGTCCATGACCATCGGTCCCAGAAACTTGGTAGGAGCGTTGATAATTGGTTCTGACTACTGAAGCAAAGGCAAGTGAATCAGTGACAAAGCTGACAATCCTTTCGTGAGTTCTGATTGAACTGGATCTGGAAGCCAGGAGCCCGGAGGAGCTAGGAAGTCGATCAGACCTTTAGGTAAGTTGGAAGAAAGTGATTGATTTTTTGTTGTTGTGTCACTGAAATGTGGTGATTCGTTGTAATGCCCAGAGGCCGAAATTTGGCCTTCAAAGGTGATGAGAAAACGTAAAAAAGGTACCTACTGTTTCAAGATGACTTGTAAAAAATTCGTGACAGCTAGACATCGCGCAGGTGACAGCTTTTGGGCTTTATTCACCTCTGCCAGTAGGTCGCGGGGCAAAACGCCCCATGGGGCGTTTTACCTCATGTGTTGTTCGGACTACCCACTTCCTAATGTTCGGTAGCTGGCTAACAGTAAGTTTCTATGCATTTATATGTACTTTTCTCAGCAACTGAATGGCAAAGGAAGTATTTTGTTAAGATTTCCATTGCAATAATTTATTATTTGGCCTTATGAGGCAGGTGAAAAACCTGCTCATACAATAGTGTCATAGCTGAACACCTGATAGGATGGAAGGAGCTAACTTCAGTGCCGTGCTTCCCAAGGTCTAACAGACCTCTCATATGAGATTTAAGTCAACTAGCATGTTTAATCTTTAATCTAGAGTATGGGGCTTCTTGCCCCAGGCCGTGGGGCGTTTTGCCCTGGGGTTGGGGCAAAATGCCCCATTTGCAGTTGCTTAACAAATCACTTCCTAGCTAGGAGTCCGATCATAAGTGAATGAATTTGAGGGGTGGAATTTGAAGTAAAATGTCCAAAGAACGCATTGAGCACAAATTTGGCCTTCCAGGTGATGTAGGACAAAAGTAATGTAGCAAAATAAATTATCTGGGGCGTCTTGCCCCAGGCTACCCTACAACATCCCCTGACTGCACCTGCTGGACCAATGCCGTCCCCTCATGGGCCCACCACAGCTCTTGAATGACCTTTTCAAGTCCCCTGAAGTGCCTTTATTGGCCTAAATGGCCCCTGATTGACTTATGTGGTCCCTATTGGTCCTATATGGCCTCCATGAGCCCTCAACGTCCCTAGACAGCCTTACATTATATTCCACTGGGCCCTGTTGGGTCAGCACCGGCCCCTGATAGGCGTGCACTGGACCCACCGGGCCTATACCGACCCATGAAGGGCCTATGTCGAGCCCTCATGGACCTCCGATGATCACACCTCCGATGATCGCTGATGTGTGGCCCCATCAGCGGTGGTCCGTCTATCCCATTTACTTACGGTCTTTTTGGTCGATGTGACACCGGTAGTATATAGAAATGTTATGAAAAACTGTAGTACCGAAATTACAGACGATTAATGAATATCGTTTAGTGCTTACTAGATGCAGGAAGAAAATATGTAACCACACGCAATCGTAAACCTTTGCCGTCCCAGTAAACATGCCGACGTCGGCCCGACGTCGGGCCGAGGCTCGGCCCGACGTCGGCCCAGCGTCGGCTCAACCTCGGCCCGACATCGGCTGGACGTCGGATATGCCCGCATGTTCCGACGTCCAGCCGAAGTCCAGCCGACGTCGAGCCGACGTCGGGCCGAGATCGTTTGCCGAGGTAGACGAGATCGTTTGTCGTTGGACCGACGGGGCCGACGTCGGCATGTTTATTGGGACAACGCGCCAAAAATATCAACCGGCGGCGGGATTCGAGCCCCCAGTCGCCGACGTCGGCATGTTTACTGGGACAACACGCCAAAAGCATCAGCCGGCGATGGGACTCGAACCCCGCGTCAATCGAATGCGAGGTTAGTGCGCTAACCACTACACCACGCAGCCAGCCAACGAGTTTGGTTTGTTTTGTTGGGTTATGCCCTTTCGGTCTGACAAGACCATTTCAGAGCCGGAAGGATCATAGGATGGAGACATTGGTCTTCTTGGCGAGCACCCTGGGTCCAGTTCATATAGAGTCCCTGGTCCCATTGCTGTTACGTGACACTTATTGGAAAGGGCGACCCCACAATGGATTCATATAGCCACTCTTACACACCTGCACCAACGTTTCCCAAAGTGTCCCTTTGATAAGTGGCACTTTGGCAAAGTGACACTTGCCGACTGGCCTTTCTATCTGAACTGGGCCCGGCCCTGGTGAGTTGCCGGGGCTGAGCCTGACCAAAAGGCCGAGCAGCCCCCAAGCACTCACCGCACCCGGCAACGGGCGAGCTCGGCTTACGGGCACTCCCAAATGGGATAAAGTTTCCCGTCCAGTCCGGATCAGGGGGTTGCGGCGTGGAGGAAGATTTGAGTTTCCTGAGGATATTTTGAATACAGAAGCTCTTTATGAAACATGAAACATGTATTTAATATTATTTTAACGGTCAAAACAGCGGCCGATGTCGGTCCGACGTCGCCCCGACGTCGGCCCGACGTCGGCTGGACCTCAGCAATTGATCTCGGTCCGACGTCGGCCCGACGTCGGCTGGACCTCGGCTGGACGTCGGAACATGCGGGCATATCCGACATCCAGCCGACGTCGTGCCGAGGTTGGACCGACGTCGGGCCGACGTTGGCATGCTGATGCCGAGTTGCCGACGTCACCCCGACGTCGGCCGACGTCGGGCCGACGTCGGCATGTTTACTGGGGTGGTAGTGGGGAGGGGGGGGGGGGCGGCCGTCTGGCCACACTCCATATTTTTACGTGTACATATTTGTGACTTGAGTTGAAGTGAGCTTTGTAACCTCACCAGTAACCATTATAAGCAACGAAAAAGTACAAACGGCCACTTCCTTAAAAAGGTTACAACCACTAAATATTTTCAGAATCATAGTATTTCTGCGTATATTCAATTGGAAGGGTGCAACTGATGGCCAGCGGCCACTCAAAAGGTCATGTTAGGTCATGAAGATTACCGACAGTTTTTCGATAATAACAGTTTTTGGTGCAGGCTTGCCGGAGCGATGAAAGTACTTGCAAGGTATTCATCTCACCAGAACGGGTCAATCAATACGCAATACGCAACATGTACTTCTCCGGCCAGGTCATTGCCTTGAGCTCATGTCAAAAAGTTATTCAAGTTGACCTTTAAACCCCATACGTTTATTTCATCGGGTCTTGAGAGAAATACGATGATGGTAAAATAATGCAATGCCTTCGTTTTCGGGCCCAAAGGCGGTGCATTTTTTTTTTTTTGCAAAAATCGTCTATTTTACCACTCTCTGACCCTAGCCGTTGATCTGCATATTTAAGTCAAATCTGAAGACATGTTCGCGAAAAGACTTTGACTTATCGATTGCGCCTTTTCGCGACGCCCTAGCTCCTTTGGATTACGTTTACTCCGATTTGTGTAAAATTGTCGAAATCGGGAAAAATTTATAGGAAAAATGTTACTTTTGGTTAGGTGACCTGAAGTGACCTCAGCGTTGAACAAATAAAAATACCATAATCAATCTTAAGAAAACTTCAGAGAGCTATCGATTCCGATTGCTCTCTTTCTGCGCCTCTCTACCTTTCTTAGTATTCAAAGGCAGTTGCAAAATCCCCCCCCCCCCCCCCGAGGCCCGAGCCATGGCGAAGCTGGCGGCTGAGACCTGAGCTGGCGTAATCCTCTCAACAGGGCGTGGGTTACACGCATGGTAGAATAAAATGAAACATTCATATCAATAGCCAATAGGAATTAATTCGTAAGGATTTGTTCGAGAGAAAACGTACCGTGCCGCACAGCGACGGCAGCGCGCGGCGGGCACGGCCGAGCCCCGCCGTCCACGTGGTCCTCTGCAGGGCCTGGGGGGTCATCTGGAGCACATATGTGTGCTGACCGGCCCCAACGCGCCGGGCCGGCCGCCGCCGGCCGGCTCGGCAGTTCGCGGCGATACGACGACGACGGCGCGGCTCCGCCGGCGCAACGGCGCCGGCGTCGTACGATTCGATTGAGGTGCAGTGTGTGACGAGTAATCCAGAAATAGACATTCATCTAAGAACTCTTTTGGTCCTCCGGTTAATGAACGATACGATCAGCTACGCAATTCTTAGTGAACTGAACGATTCTCACGAACATTTCGGTCCTCCGGGCCGGATATCAGTGAACTAGTGTGATGGATTTACAGTGACGACGCGGTGTTGTGAACTGTGAGTACAATGTCTGACAAGCGGTCACGACATGCCAGTGATGCGAAATCACATCAAAGCCGCCGAAGCTCGTATCACACGAGGAGCGAGGCGAGCTTCAGCACGGCGTCCTCCGGTCTCAGTGAAGCCCGCCGCCGGGCTGCACTTAGCCAGCTCCAGGCGGAACAGGCCCAGCGCGCCGCCGCCGCCAAGGCTGAGCTGGCCCGGCGTCTGGCGGAGGCGGACGCGGAGCAGGCCCGACGACAGGCGGAGCAAGCCCGACAACAGGCGGAGGCGCAGGCAGAGCAGTCCCGGCGGCAGGCGGAGCAGGCAGAGGCGCAGGCAGCCCTGGAGGCACAGGCGGCGAAGGATGAAGCTGAGTGCCGTCAGCTGGAGCTGGAGCTGCTGGAGCAGGAGGAGCGGGGTTCGCAGCACCCTCGTTCTTCCGCTGCACCATCCGTCGCTGGTCTTCCGGTGGTTGCAACTGAGCCACCGGCACTGGTGGACGTGTCTCGACAAACGGACGAGTCAACCACGCGCACCCGACAGTGGCTGGCTCAGTCTCAGCTGCATGTGCCGCCAGTGGATACGGCTCCTGTCGGCACCCTGCCTCCACCTGCGGTGCGGCTGCAGCACCCGTCCCGTGACGACACCAGAGCGGTCCCACATCTGCCGCGCATCACGCTGGAGAAGTTCGGCGGCTCTGCCATCGAGTGGCCGCGGTGGATAGCCCTCTTCAAAGCGCTGGTACACGACCGCGCCGACCTCACCGACGTAGAACGGCTGACCTATCTGCAGACTCACCTGACGGGGCCGGCGAGAGAGTCTGTGCGGGGCATGCTCTGCGACGCCAGTCTATACAGCACCGCCCTGTGTGAGCTGGAGCGAGAGTTTGGTGACCCGTCCCGTGTGATACATGCCACGATGAAAAGACTGCTCACAGCGCGGGCGGTGAAAGATGGCGACCTGTCAGCGCTGACAGAGCTGTCTCGTGAGCTCCACACCGCGGTGAGCGTCCTACAGTGTCTGCACTACGAGCACGACCTCGCTGCCGCCACGAACGTCACCACTGTGACTGGGAAGCTACCAGCCTCCCTCGCCTGGAGGTGGGGCGAGCACATGGTGGAAAACGGCATCACTCGTCCGACGCTCGTCGATCTCGACGAATGGCTTCGCCGTCATGTGTCAGCTGGTCGGTTGGCCTTGAACGTGACCACCAAGCAGCCGCCGAAGGTCGAGGCTAACGACGCTGAGTGCCGCCCGAGACGCGTGTTTACCACCACGTCGGCGCGGCCCACGCCGGCGGCTGTAAAGCGGGGGAGGACGGCGGCCATAAAACCATCAGCGGACGGGAACAGCGCCGGCTGTGCCATGTGTCAGCAAACACACCAGCTCCAGCGCTGTGACAAATTTCTCGCGTTGACTGTGAGTGAAAGGGCAGAGTTTGTCGGCAGAAACAGACTGTGTTTCAACTGCCTGGGCCGCGATCACATCAGCGCTACGTGTCCCAGTGATGCACGATGTGACGCGGAGCACTGCAGCAGGCGTCATCACGCGCTGTTGCACAACGGCAGACGAGTGTTTCCGCGGAGTGATAACGCTGGTGGCACGCCGTCATCCACCAAACACGTCGGCACAGCGTCGGTCGAACCTCGCGGTCATATTCTGCTGCAGGTGGTACCCATCACCGTGAATGGTCCGGCAGGTAGCCGCACCACAAACGCGCTATTGGACTTAGGAAGCCAGGTCACACTGGTCACCGACGGCCTGTGTGACCGGCTCGGCATCTCGGGGCCCGCGGGCAAAGTGTTGCTGAGCACTCTGAACGGCAACCAAACGATGCAGTCACGGCGCGTATCGTTTGCTGTTGAGGCTGTGGGCGGCGACGGCAAGGCGCACTGCATACAAAACGCCCAAACGACGCCGACGTTAAACGTGTCAGCCAAGGTCATGGACTGCACGGTGGCAAAGGAGGAATGGCCGCACCTGGCCGACCTGGATCTCCCCAGCGCCACCCGCGACCCGGTGGAGGTGCTCCTGGGGACGGACGCCATCGAACTAATTGTGCCACGGGAAGTGATTGAAGGGCCGCCGGGGACGCCGTGCGCGGTAAAAACCGTGCTGGGATGGTCAGTGACCGGGCGAGTGCCGGGGCGTTCCATGTATGAACAAGGTGAACACGCTGTGCACCATGTACGTGTCAGTGACGAGAGGAGTGCGCTCATCGAACTTCAGAATCAAGTAAAGCTGTTCTGGACGACCGAGGCTTTCGGTACAAAATACGAAGGTGCACAACTGCACTCGAAAGCAGATCAGAGAGCCATGTCCATTCTGGAGAGCGTCACGAGAAAGACCGGCGACCGATACGAGACCGGTCTCCTGTGGCGTGATGACGAGGTGCAACTCCCAGACAACCGTCAGACTGCTCTTACGCGTCTGAAGGCGGTGGAGAGACGCCTGGACCGAGACCCTGACCTCTGTCGGTCGTATCGAGACACGATGAACGACTACATCACCCAAGGTCACGCCAGCAAGGTCAGCGGAGAGCAGCGCACGCACGGGCGGACGTGGTATCTGCCCCACCACGCCGTTCAAAACCCCAACAAGCCAGGGAAGGTGCGTGTCGTGTTCGACGCGGCGGCGAGGTGTGGTGGCACGTCACTGAACGACAATCTCATCACTGGACCCAACAATCTGAACTCACTCACCGGTGTGCTCATGAGGTTCCGACAGGGCCGCGTGCCGATCGCGTCTGATGTGAAACAGATGTTTCACCAGATAGCCGTCCGTGCTGAGGACCGACAGGCACAGCAGTTTCTCTGGCGTGATATGGACATGACGAAGGAGCCAGAGACGTATCAAATGAACGTGGTCATCTTTGGTGCAAAGTCATCACCAAGCACGGCCACCTACGTGCTGCGACGGTGCGCAGAAGACGGCAGAGACAAACACCCTCGGGCGGCCGACAAGATCGTCAGCCGCTTCTACATGGACGACTACCTGGACTCCGTCGACACCGAGAGAGAGGGACGGGAGCTGGTCAACTCGCTCAACTCTCTGCTGAGCGCCGGCGGCTTCCACCTGACAAAATGGACGAGCACGTCAGACGTGGTGCTGAAGGACGTGGCGCCTGAGGACAAGTGTGAGGAGTCACGCGACCTTGACCTGACCGGTGAGAACAGATGGATGAAGACGCTGGGCGTTCACTGGTGCGCTCAGGATGACCAATTCAGGTTCAAGGTCAAGAAAGTCGACAGTGGGAACACCAAGCGTTCCATCCTGAGCATCACGTCAGCAGTGTTCGACCCGCTGGGCATGTTGGCTCCGTTCATTGTCCGTGCGAAATGTCTCATCCAAAGGATCTGGCTCGGCGGATGGGACTGGGACGAGGCCATCAGCGACAGTGAACTCCTCGTTCAGTGGCACAGCTGGCAGCGGGAGCTGAACGACACGGACTGCGTGCGAGTGGGCCGCTGTTATCGCCCTGACGACAGAGCGATCGTAAACTGTCAGCTGCACGTGTTCGGTGACGCCTCTGAGCTTGCGTTCGGTGTGGTGGCGTATCTGCGGTTCGAGCTCGAGGATGGCACCGGCTATTGCAGCTTCGTGATGTCCAAGGTGCGAGTCGCACCCATCAAACAGCTCAGCATACCTCGACTGGAGCTACAGGCCGCCGTCATGGCCGTCCGCGTGGCTGACACCATCAAGGCAGAGCATGATATGGCCATCAACGAGACCGTCTTCTGGAGCGACTCGTCCACCGTGCTCCATTGGATCAACAGCGAGAGCAGGCGGTTTAACACCTTCGTCGCAAACCGCATCGCCGAGATCCAGGATGCGTCAGACGTGACTCAATGGCGACACGTGCCAGGGCCACTGAACCCAGCGGACATATGCAGCCGAGGCTGCTCGGTGACGGAGCTGGCGCCCGGCGGCGTGTGGGTTCAAGGTCCGGCCTTCCTACGGCGCCGTCACCAGGACTGGCCCGCCGCGCCGCCCCGCACGACGGAGCGCCCGAGAGACGAGGAAACGGCCGAAATGAGGGTAATAGCCTGCGCCACTGGGGGAGCTGAGCCGGCCATAAACCCCAGCCGGTTCTCATCATGGCTCAGGCTGCTGCGTGTGACAGCGTGGGTGCGCCGCTTCGCTCACAACAGCCGCAGCCGAGCAGCAGCTGATCGGCGGACGGGACCGCTGACTGCTGAAGAGCTGAGAGAAGCTGAGCGTGTCTGGCTGCTCAGCACACAGGCCGAGCAGTTCGGCGATGAAGTTGCAGCTCTCCAGCACGGAAGACGGCTCCCATCGAACAGCGGACTGCATCAGCTGACACCCTTCCTGGACTCGACCGGCCTACTGAGAGTCGGGGGCCGGCTGCGCCACGCCCAGATGGACTTCGAGGTCAAGCACCAGGTGATACTACCTGCACGCGGAGACATCACTCGGCTGATCATCACCGACCGACACAAGAAGCTCGCCCATTCCGGTGCTGAACACGTGCTGACTCACCTGCGGCAGCAGTTCTGGGTCATCTGTGGCAGAGCTGCAGTGAAGCGGTACACACGTGCCTGCATGCTGTGCCGGAAACGGTCAGCCCGGCCAGCGCCGCCGCTGATGGGTGATCTACCAGCCTTCCGAGTGGGCGAGCCGGCCCCGGTCTTCGCTCGTGTAGGAGTGGATTTCTTCGGCCCCCTGACGGTGAAGAAACATCGCAAACGAGAAAAGAGATATGGCTGCCTGTTCACCTGCCTGTCTACCCGAGCAGTCCATATCGAACTGGCGCACTCACTGGACACCGACTCGTTCATCATGGCCATGCGACGAATGATGGCGAGACGGGGCAACGTCAGCCTCGTGTGCTCGGACAATGGCACAAACTTCCGTGCTGGTGAGCGGGAACTGCGGCAGGCACTGCAACAGTGGAACCAGACAAAGATAGCGGACACGCTGTCTCAAGAAGGAGTTGAGTGGCGGTTCAACCCACCAGGAGCACCGCACTTTGGTGGCGTGTTTGAGCGACTGGTCCGGTCCGCCAAACGCGCACTGACGACTGTGCTGGGAGACCGAGCCGTGGACGATGAGACGCTTCGAACGGTCGTCACCGAGGTGGAAGGGCTCCTGAACGGCCGTCCGCTGACCTACATCAGCACCGACCCGGGCGACTACCAGCCACTCACCCCCAATCACTTCCTGATCGGTCGCGCGTCTCCCCAGCTGCCGCCCGGTGTGTTCGTCGACGGTGACCTGTGCGGCCGACGGCGCTGGAAGCACACCCAGGTGTTAATCGACCACATCTGGCGGCGCTGGCGACGGGAATACCTCCCGACACTCACCACGCGGGTGAAATGGCGCGCAGACACGGCTGACGTGCAGCTCGGGGAGCTAGTGCTGGTGACAGACGACAATCTGCCCCGCGGACACTGGCCTGTGGGGCGAGTGGTGAACGTGTTCCCTGGCGCCGACGGCCGAGTGCGGGTGGTTGAAGTGGCCACTGCCACTGGACGCTATAGGCGGCCGGTCTCTCGTCTCTGCCGTCTCGAGTGCGATGGTGACGGACAGTAAATGGACTCAGAGGGATAATGTGTGCGCGAGTGGGGCGACTAGTGAGTCTTTTACGACCACCGTGTGCCGCCGCCGAGCAGCGTCGGAGTCTGGACATTTGTGAGTGTTAACTGCGTCCGTCATTCGTGTTAGGTTGACGTGTGCGTGTGTGAGAATGAGCCGCTCATTCTGTGCGCTGTCGCTTGTGTCAATTGTCATTTGTTTGTTGATTAGCCATTAGCTAACAGCTGTGAGCCGTTCGACAGTGCTACGCGTTCACACTGTCATAGTGCCCCTCCCGGCGCATTCGGCCGGTCGGCCTGTACGAGCTAGTAGTTAACGGCCTTAGAGTGTAGCAGCCTTAGATTGGCACCGACGCGCGGCGCAGCCGATGTAGTTTACAGTATTAGCTTTAGCGGTCGTTTATTGCTGTACGATACGAACGGAAACGCTGCCTGCGAGCAGCTGTTTGTTGTTTCCTTAATGTTTTCTCTCTTACGTTTAGAATTTCCGCGAGCGACGCGAAAATTCGGGCCGGCCATGTTCGAGAGAAAACGTACCGTGCCGCACAGCGACGGCAGCGCGCGGCGGGCACGGCCGAGCCCCGCCGTCCACGTGGTCCTCTGCAGGGCCTGGGGGGTCATCTGGAGCACATATGTGTGCTGACCGGCCCCAACGCGCCGGGCCGGCCGCCGCCGGCCGGCTCGGCAGTTCGCGGCGATACGACGACGACGGCGCGGCTCCGCCGGCGCAACGGCGCCGGCGTCGTACGATTCGATTGAGGTGCAGTGTGTGACGAGTAATCCAGAAATAGACATTCATCTAAGAACTCTTTTGGTCCTCCGGTTAATGAACGATACGATCAGCTACGCAATTCTTAGTGAACTGAACGATTCTCACGAACAGGATTGCTATTAAACAATAGGCATTCATGATCCAAATTAAACACGTATGTGTACCTCACTTTGACGAATCATCGCCTTTCTGTTCGGTTCATTTTCTCGTCTCCTCATTTCCACTACCCTCTTAATTGACAAGCTGTTATCGTTATTTTGTCCTAACATCAATGTCTCCAGCCCCGGAACTCCCCGTTTCCCAGCCGCCACTCCGTGTCCCGTCCCTACAGCACCCGGTCCACCCAGCCCTCTCCCATTCCCGATCCACACAGCACAGCACCTCGGCCGGGCCGCCGGCGCCGGCGCTTTAATAAAGGTGTTGACGAATTGTTGCACGCCGCCCGGGATTTACGGTGTTTTGTCTTATTTTATGCGTTTTAACCGCGCGCGCCCTGCTGCGAGCAATCAACGTTTTGACGCCCGCCGGACCCCCCGCGGTTGGTAACGGATGGAGCGGGCCGGTCGGTCGGCCGGCCGGCCGAGCCCAATGGAGCGGAGTGTAGGAGGGAGTGGAGCGGAGGGCCGTAGTAGTGCTAGCCGGTCAGGGAGGAGACCGGCTTAGGCGGCACTACGTGGCTTTAAACACAGCTCTGTAATGGCAGGAAATCTTTGGAATATGACTGTCAACAAACGGCAGGTGGGACTGAATGCTGTGTAATACGACTGTCAATACACGGTAGGTGAACTGTCAATACCAGTGGAATATGACCGTCAACACACGGTAGGTGGGAGTGTAAATACCAGTGGAATATGACCGTAAACACACGGTAGGTGGACTGTCAATACCAGTGGAATATGACCGTCAACACACGGTAGGTGGACTGTCAATACCAGTGGAATATGACCGTCAACACACGGTAGGTGGACTGTCAATACCAGTGGAATACAACAGTGAACACACGGTAGGTAGACTGTCAATACCAGTGGAATGTGACCGTCAACACACGGTAGGTGGGACAGTGAATACCAGTGGAATACGATCGTCGACCTACAACCTCCCGAGCTCTCAAAGCTTGTTTGTCTCGCACTTTTTCCCATACGTCATATGAGCTCGGTTCAGTCACGTAGCTTAACCTTTATAATAGATATTAACCCGCGCCCGGCTGGGGGTCCTGGATTTCCACGCCCTGCTGGGGGGGGGGGGTGTTTGAACACCCCCCCCTTCTAACTCGGCTCCTGGGCCACGTAGCGATACGCGGAAGGCGGTGTTCGAAAGAACGTCAAAAATAATGAGGAAATCACTTCGGTCAATTTTTTGGTCAGGTCAAAGGTCAGGTCACCAGAGGTCATTGAAGGCAAAATTTCGCCGATTTCCAGGTCGAATGTCGACAATTTCCAAGAAGCCAACGCATAACTCGGGAACCAATAGAGCTACAGCGCCGCGGAAAAGCGCATTCGATAGCCCTATTAGCGCCCTTTCTGAGTAATTCTCTCAGATTTGACCTAACGTCAACGGTTTTGCCTGCAGGGGGCAAAAACTGCAAAAATAGCCGATTTTTTTTGGAAACAGTTTTTCTGCAATAACTTTTGACCCAAGCCTTGTACGAGCTTACTTTTACCGGCATCGTGTTCCTCTCGTCAAGACGCATCGAATGAACTATAACTTGACCTTGAAAGGTCAACTTGAAAATTTGACCTCAGGTCAAGGTCATGACCTGACCGGAAAGGGTCATGTTGCATATCAGTCGATCCGTATCGTCGAGCTGAACACATCTAAGGCGTTTTCATCGCTCTAGCATGCCTCTATCAAAAGTTATTTGCGAAAAACTGTTAGATGCCATTCGTGACCTAAGATGACCTCAGGGCATAAACAGGGGTCACGGACACCATTTTCATGTTCAGTGTGTCTAAACCACTTGTAATTCAGTGTTTGGGAGTGTTTATAATGTCTTTCGTCCAAAAGAGGCGCATTTCAATTTTCTTCCATTGACTTATAATGGGGAGGTCGCAAAATTGACCTGACCTTAGGTCATCGATATCAAAATTCTGAGATATACATTTGTACATGCTATTGCTCTTAGCAATCGCTGAAAGTTTCAAAGCGATCGGTCACTCGGTGTAGCTATGACAGACATTGAAACTTTTTATGAGGTGAGGTCACTTCAAGTGACCTGGTGACCTGACCTTGAATGACCTTGGTCTGAAATTTTCACAACATGTGTAGAATTCATGTATGATAAGGTATACCAAAAACGGCGGCGCTCCGCGCGGCCGTTTTTGAGATATTCGCGAAAAACCACAAAGGGGGGTGTTCAAACACCCCCCAGCAGGGCGCGGGTTAAATAAGTCCGGTGAGAAACATTGCAATTTTTACTTTGGCGCCACAAATGATCTAAGACTAGCTCAAGCACATAAAATCATAATAGAATAGCACACATTCCTTGAAAGAACCGATGCCTTTATGATTATTGATCTTAGCTGACGTCATATGCGACGCCATCAAATGCATCGGAATTTTCGGTAAAAAATACCGATCATGATTGAACGCTCTTGAGTCGGTGAAGCCACCAGTGGACTCCGAAATAGCTGTCCAATTAATTGATGTGCGGCATGATCTCCTCTGACGAACTTCGTGAACTGAGCGACTTCGACCTGACCTTGGTCACGGCCGTATGGGGAGGGGGTCGAACGGACCCCCCTCGGTTTTCACGAATAACTCGCCAGGGGCGGATCCAGGAAAACTCCAAGGGGAGGGTCATGAATCGAAGTGGTGCCCCTACCTATACCCAAAATTAAAAACTCAACGGATTTCGTCCACTTCATTTTGGTGGTGCCCCCATTTTCAGTTTTTTATTTTATTTTTTATTTTTAGTCAGTATCTTACCTCTTAGCCACAACCACTTTTACCAATTGTAAGCAAGTATATATGAATGTGCTATGTGTATATATGTTGTGGACGCTGAGTAATGAGTACTTACCAGGAACGTTATCAGGTAAGCAAATCGTTGTCAGTCCGACGAACTTGACCCTGGCGTCTAAAGGGTCTATCCTTGACACTTCAGGCTTGTCAGGGGCACCAAAGTTCTTCCAGGGACACCACAAACCTGTCAGGGGCACCTACGGCCTTGTAGGGGCGCCACAGGCCCGCCAGGGGCACCACAGGCCTGCCAGGAAGCAGGGGCACCACAGGTCTAGCAAGTATACACGACAGGCCTGTCAGGGGCACAACGGGCCTGTTGGGCCCATGAGCACCCCTAGGGGCAGGGGCACCACAGTCCTTCCAGGGGCACCGCAGGCCTGTGAGGGGCACCAGCGGCCTAGCAGGGGCACCAGTCAACACAGGCCTGCCAGGGGCACCACAGACCTGCCAGGGGCACCAGAGGCCTGCCAGGAGCACCACCGACCTCGCAGGGGTAACTTGGGCCTGTCAGGGCCCAGGGGCACCACGGGCCTGTCGAGAGGCACTTCAGGCTTTTCAGGGGCACCATAGTCCTCTCAGGGCGCAGGGGTAGCAGGGGCACCAGAGGCCTGCCAGGGGCACTACAGGCCTAGCAAGGGCACCACTGGTCTATCAGGGGCACCACGAGCCTGTCATAGCCAGGCATCTCAGGCTTGTCAAGGCCCAGGGGCACCACAGGTCTGTGAGGGGCACCAGCGACCTAGCAGGGGCACCAGTCAACACAGGTCTGCCAGGGGCGCCACAGACCTGCCAGGGGCACCAGAGGGCCTGCCAGGGGCACCACCGGCCTCGCAGGGGCACCTTGGGCCTGTCAGGGGCACGACGGGCCTGCCGAGGGGCACTTCAGACTTTTCAGGGGCACCAGTCCTCTCCGGGCGCAGGGGCACCAGAGGCCTGCCAGGGGCACCAGCGGCCTAGCAAGGGCACCAGAGGCCTGCCAGGGGCACCAGCGGCCTAGCAAGGGCACCAGAGGCCTGCCAGGGGCACCACAGGCCTAACAAGGGCACCACGGGCCTGTCAGGGGCACCTCAGGCTTGTCAGGGGCACCTCAGGCTTGTCAGGGCCCAGGGACACCACAGTCCTTCCAAGGGCACCGCAAGCCTGTCAGGGGCACCAGAGGCCTGCCAGGGGCACCACAGGCCTAGCAAGGGCACCTCTGGCCTGTCAGGGGCACCTCAGGCTTGTCAGGGCCCAGGGCACCACAGTCCTTCCAGGGGCATTACAAG